TTTGTCGTATTGTATTCACTGCTAAACACAAAGTTCGATGGATCTATATTATCAATACCCTTAATAATCTTAAACGCTTCAATCAAATTCTCTCTGACCTTTCTCCTCTCCAGAGAAAACAAGTTTAGAGATTTTAGTCTCTCCTCATAGGACAATCCCACCATCCCAGGTATCATCCTAGTGACTATTTTCTGAACCTTCTCCAACAGTTGAATGTTCTTCCCGAGGAAAGGAGCCCAAAACTGTACACAGTATTCTAAATAAATCCTTACAAGAGATATATACAGTGAAACAATGATATCATTTGTCTTGTATTCAGTACTTCTATAGATGCTACTCAAAATCATGTTAGCCCTATTGCTAGCTACAATACACTGTATAGATTACTTAAATGAATTTTTGATCACAACACCAAGATCTTTTACTTCAACCACAGTATTTAATGCATTCCCATTTAAATTGTAACAATAATTTGAATTGTGAAAACCTACATGCATCACCTTACATTTTAGATAGTTAAACATCATCTGCCACGTATTGTCCCAATGCATGAAATGATCTAAATCTCCCTATAAGTCTGCAGCATCTTTGATACAGTTAGCCACCCCAAAAATCTTAATGTCATCTGCAAACTTCAATATTTTGTTTGTAATTCCAGAGTCAATAATATCAATATTATTACGACAGCTGAAGTCACGTGATACTGGGGTTTCTGGAAGGATCATGAATTTTCCTGGCAACTTTTGTTTGTTTGAGGCACCCTCTTTTTTTAGTATATAAGCCTGGCGAGAAAAACAAGCACAATGGCAGAGGCAGATAGATTGAAGAGATAGAGAGATAATTGAGTCAAGCGATCAGTAAGCACTATAAGTAAAGTGTGTGAATCACTGTGATTTCTAGCGTGTGTTATAAAGGTTGCTAAGTTTAAAGTGACTGTGGAAATTTTGTGTATTACAAAGTTTGTACCGAGAAAGAATAAACTAGTTTTAATCAAGAAGGGAATTGTATCGCTGAAATTTCTCCGAAAGAATTTTTACGGGAAATTATCAAACAAGCAGATACGTAACAATATAAATCACAAACAGAGGACCCAACACAGAACCCTAAGACACACTGCTTATAACTGTGAGATCTAACTCCATTTATTACTACTCTGCTTTTTACTCTCCAACCAATTGTCTATCCAATTTAATAACATTTACCACACACCCACATATTTAATTTTTGTAACTAATGTTTCGTGAGGCACCTTATCAAACGCTTTATGAAAATCAAGGTAAACCAAATCCACAGTATTTACTTCATCAACTCTTGCAGTAACATCCTCAAAGAATGTCAGAAGATTTGTTAAACAAGACATTCCCTTAATGAAACCATGCTGGCTCTTTGACACTACCAAACTGCTTTAAGTGACTCTGCAATGCATCTTTAATCACACTCTCCAAAACCTTTCTAGCTACTGATGTAAGACTGGGTGGCCTATAATTTGCCTGGACAATGATTATCACCTCCTTTAAATATTGGACTAACATTAGCCAACTTCTAATCTTCTAATATTCTTCCACTACTCAACGATCTATAAATAATATCAGCTAGAATTTCACAAATAAAATATTTAAATTCCTTCACAATTCCAGGGGACTTATTAATTTTTAGGTTTCCCAACTTTTCTCTTACAGTTTCAGAACTTAAAATGATATCTTTTAGATCAATATTTTTCCCATACATTAAGTGCTCTGGTTGAGGTATAATACTTATATCTTCCTTCATAAAAACTGAAGAGAACATATAATTTAATAAGTTTAACATCTCCTAATCTTCCGAGATCAGCTCCCCAATATCATTTATAAGAGACCCAATCCTCGTCCTAACATTTTGCTTACCTATCATATACCTAAAGAATTCCTTATTGTTTGATTTAACTCTCTTAGCCATCCCTCTTTCATATACAATTTTTGCCCTTTTATCTTTCTTCTGAACCAGCTCTCCTGATTTCCTATAGTCCTCCAAATCCTTATTATTTCCAGTCAATTAGTTTAAATTTCTTGAATTTATTATGTTTATCCCTAATATGATATAGTTTCTAATAGTTATTACTAGTAATGTTATCAATACAGTTTCTAATGGTTATTTCTAGTAATGATATGAACACAGTTTCTAATAGTTATTTCTATTAATGATATCAACACAGTTTCTAATAGTTATTTCTATTAATGATATCAACACAGTTTCTAATGGTTATTACTAGTAATGATATCAACACAGTTTATATTGTTAATTTCTAGTACTGATAACAAGACAGTTGTAATGGTTATTTCTAGTAATGATATCAATACAGTTTCTAATGGTAATTTCTTGTACTGATAGCATCACAGTTTCTAATGGTTATTTCTAGTAATGACATCAATACTGTTTCTAATGGTTATTTTTAGTACTGATAACATCACAGTTTCTAATGGTTATTACTAGTAATGATATCAACACAGTTTCTAATGGTTATTACTAGTAATGATATCAACACAGTTTCTAATGGTTATTTTTAGTAATGATAATGTTTGGTTTATACTTTAAGTTTGTTGATAATAAATACAAGGAGGCATTGTGAGATTAGCCTGTTGAACTGCGTGTCAGATTTATATTTTATGTACATATTGTTGCGTCAGCGAGGTCACGTGACTAGTATCACGCCACGTACTTCTTGAACCTTCGTGAATTATTGGGAGACTACTAGATTAGGGGTAGTCTGGTATATATAAGATGGGCACAACGTGACGGAACAATGAGT